GTTGCAACATGCAGAAAACTACTTTTTTTTGTATATTTTAGATTGTTATAGTTATTTTTTATGAAATAATTTGACAGTGTTTTTTTGTTTCTTTAATTCTGCATGTGTTCGAATGAAGTCTTATACGAAGAGACAAAATTTTTCTTTCGATACTTTTACAACGTGTCTTGTTTTTCTACAGATTGTGCAATAAATGAATTAAGTTGCAACATGCAGAAAACTACTTTTTTTTGTATATTTTAGATTGTTATAGTTATTTTTTATGAAATAATTTGACAGTGTTTTTTTGTTTCTTTAATTCTGCATGTGTTCGAATGAAGTCTTATACGGTTTTAATGGCAAAAGTGGACTTGCTACTTGGGAACGTTCTGTCAGGAACGAACAGTTGTGATGCTTTGACGACAAAAAGGCGTCTTGTTTGCTTTTCAGCCTTATAATTCAGTAGGGTCTGATTTGTGAACATCTGCAATTTACATAATATATCTAGATGTATATCTAGATGTTCAGATATTCAAGTTAGATATTTAGATATTCAGATGTTATAGAAATGAGGAAAAGGGAAGGTGGGGGTGGCAAGGGAAGATGAGAGTGAGGCGCTTCCTGATATTCGCCACCGTGAAAGAAAAGAGGAAGATATCTGAATATCTGAACATCTAGATATTATGTAAATTGCAGATTTTCACAAATCAGACCGGTCTCTTATAATTCTATGAAAAAGTATTTTGGTCATTTTTTTTGTGGCTACAAAATATTTAATGAAACCGTAACTCTGTTATTTATTGGTCCATCCAGAAAATGAGCGAGCAACTAGAAGAACCGTCACTTAAAGTTTCATCATCAACAACACTGGTTAGTTCATCCAGTGCGACGGCTCAACAGCAAATTGCACGGCTTGTTCGCGTTCCAGTACCTGGTGATGGCTCTTGCCTGTACAGTACACTCAGCCTCATTTTGAGGAATCATACTGGTGAAAAGCTGTCCAGCCAGCAATTAAGAGAAAGGATTGCGCAAGAAGTCGATAATCATCCGGAGGAGTATCGTGATCTTCTGGAGTATCCAGAGTATGCGAACCGGATTCGTGATCCCTTACTTTGGGGTGGACAAACAGAAATTGATTTATTTACTCGCATCTTTGGAATTGGAGTGAGAAATATTAATAGCGAAACAAATACTATTTATGACAACAGAGCCCGAGGTACCAACTATTATGCCTATGTTTTTTATAATGGGTATCATTATGATCTAGTGCGATATTCAGATGACCAACAAATAGAGAAGACCATCTTTTCGGTAAATGACGATCGTAATGATCTAATACATGATTTACTACAAAGGGAAAGAAAACAAGAAACTATGTATGAAACAGGTAGGTGTATCGTCGGTTCCCAGGCCGTTCAAAACGGCCAAGTTAACGGCGTGTTAATGTCCCGTTAAGTCTACGTTAACGCGCCGTAAATGTACTGTTTTTACACCGTTTACGGGCCAGTTTTAAAGAGAGGGAACTGCGACCTACTGACGTTTTTTTCTCAAGCGCATACCAGAAGAAAGTCATGCCTAATCGAGCTCTACCTTTGTAGAAGGCTTTTAGCTCGTTACGCTTGATTCCACCATGTTTTACTCGAATTTTTCTTCAAGAACACGGTGAAATCAATTTTTTAATGTTTTCGTCAACCAACCGATGCTTCCATCATGCCATAAGCTCTATCTGAAAAGGAAAAAACAATGTTAATACAAAGTCAGAGAGAGTGTACAGCAATTTCGGCCCGCTCTTCTTTTACTATACATGAACACCTCCTAGTCCATACTCATACTGTTGAACTATCTGATTTTCGATAAGCTTTGAAGTTTACTTTCGAGAAACACCTCTTGCTCAGGTAAATTAAGTCCCATTTCGCTGTATTTCGTAATTCTGATTCGATCATATGACTGAAAATGATCTTAAATAACATGTGAGGAAGACTGATGCCTTTTAGTTCATTCAATTATGAGTTTTACCAATAAGGTTACATTGGCGTACGTGCAGCATCGAGAATTCAGAGACTATTTCACTTCTAGAGAGTGTATACCCGTGGATATTATCCCTCGGACAAGTTCGTTGCTAGAACCATTCTAGCATCCTGTGAATGAGGCGGAATGGGTGAACTCTAACCCTCTGTGCGTCAAACAGAACCGAACTGATCTTTGCTACACCCTGAAAGTCACTAATGGTAAAGCGATCTTACACCGAGGATACGCACATTTGTGAAGACATCAGTCTTTGAGGCACTTTCTCACTTGTATGCATTTTTATTTTGAGATCTTGTACAATCACTGTGTTGAGCTGAACCTCTACAGAACGAGATATTTTAGATTTTATGCATTATCCGAGAAAGACAAAGATGCCGTAATATGACCCAAGAAGGATATAGGTCAACTCTGTCACTAAGGAAAAGTTGGAAGGTTTTGTTTATCTTAATTCGGCTCCTATCTCAGAAATGCTGTGCACTTACCCTTGTAAAATACTTCATGTTTTTGGAATAATTCCTTTGAAAAACGAGCAAAAACACATAATTTGCAAAAAAAAGATGAAAAAGTAGCTTCGCACTCTGTTAAGAAAAGATGAAATCGTATGTGTTTATAAAGAGAAAGGTTCTAACAACGGTCATTCTTCCTTTTTTTAAAAACATTCTTATATAGAATACACGTGTGTATATACGGTAAAGTCGCGTTTCGCCAATTCAACTTTCGCCAACAGACATTCGCCAGATTGACATTCGCCAGTACTACTACGACATTTGCCATAATTAGCGAATGTCTCGGCGACAGTCGCCAGTACCTGTCCTCAGTATTCATTGGAGTGTGCATATGCGCGTTTTTCTGCTCTAAATAGTTCCTAATATCAAGATTTATAGTACCTCAACTTTCATGTGTGATTTTCGAAATTTCAATGGTTTTTTTCTTGCGATAAATTCTGAAGACTTCTCCCTTGTCTTCTCATTCACATTCTAGGCAAAGGGATAGTTCTTTATTCGTATATTTAGTTAGACCGAAAAACGATTTACTCATCCCATAACTATATATAGAAAATACGATGCGGATCAAAAAATAACAGAGAAAAGAAATGCATCATTTTTTGCTCCTTTTGTTCTACTACATAAATCACACTACGTAACATTTAAACATTTGTGAGTGGTAAAGTCGCGTTTCGCCAATTCAACTTTCGCCAACAGACATTCGCCATAGTGGCGATTGGCGAATGTAGTTGGCGAATGTTCCCGCGACATTCGCCAATGTTTTTGGACATTCGCCGTCTGTGAATGTCTACTGGCGAACGTTGGCGAAAGTTGAACTGGCGAACTACGACAAATCCGTATATACACACATCTACTCAGCTGTTTCTATACATCACGTTCGAAAAAGAGAACGTGGATAGAAATACGAAAGAATATAATAGGATATACTAATGTTATCATATATTATGTGATAATTACGGTGACCGTTTTCATAACGTAGCTTTGGGGGCTGTTTTCGTGCCGTAAAGTAAGGATGTAAAAACGGTACATTAACGGTGATCACACACGGCGTGTTTTTACACCGTATTTATGCCGTTTTTATAATGACTGTTAATGTGCCGTTTACACGACGTTAACGGACCATTCTGTTTGACCTGGATTATTAAATATGTCTTTTTTTCTTCTGTGAAAAGCTTTGACGAAGCATTGTTAATGCATTAGATGTTACAGGAGAACATGACAGTAACATCAACACACCTGAGTTACTTCGTCCATTCCTTCCAATGCATTAATAGATTAATCCAAACTGAGGAAAGTACATAGCTGTTTTAAGCTCATGGATGATAGCATCTGTCGTGCAATGCAACATATACAGTATTGGAAGAAATTATAGTGCCACTTCGTTTTTTCATTCTTTTTTTTCTAAACTATAATTTAGAAAAAAAAGAATGAAGAAACAAAAACATTAATTAATGTTAATTCTTAATAAAGTATAACTCATTAAAAGAGAGGTGTACAACAGGAAAAAAGTTCCAGAAAGAGGACTTCTTTGAAAACTAGAAATTAATGTTGCTGTTGTTTAATCCAGGCATCAACTTTTGATAATGTCATTTTACCTCTCTTCTTTTACCCTTTTCCTAAATGCATTTTAGTGGAGAATGACAGTACAAAATCACCACAGTTTTCGCCTAGTCGTCCAAATCGAAAAATGTTTTCATATATCGATATTCAAAGATGGTCCGATGATATATTCAATAATCTAATGCAACATGATGAAGCGAAGAAAACGTTGCGTAAAGTTAAGGCCAATTTAACATTTGTTTTAAAAAGTATTCATATAAAAGTTATAAAAAAGGGCGAAGGAGACCGTTTAGATCTTAGGTATAATTCAACGAAATTAATGGCTCTACTTATCGGATGGACTAAAACTCTAATTCAACATCATAATCAAGAAGTGGCTAAAATTGCAGATGAACGTAAAATGGCAACAAATGAAAAGCGCAGAAAAAGAGCAGAGGAATTGCCGTATAGTAAAGCAACATACATTGTAATATCAGATTCGCCACAACCGATTGTGATTAGCCCTTGGATTGATATTTCACGCAAAGTTTTGCACGATATTTATAAAATACTGGAAAAAGATGCAGTATTCCTTTTAGCAGATTACTTTGATATGCATTTGTGGAAAAGTTATACTAATGATCAAAAAACAAATAGACACGATGAATATTGGTCGCTATTCTACAAAGCGGCTGAAGTGCTATTAAAACGATTTCCACATCGAATTTATAGAACAAATCGCACGAAAGCCCGCCTCATTGATCATCTAGCATTAGCCTATGCTACAATAATTGCTACCGCATCGTTGCGATTGTATCAATCAGGTCGTCGTTTTGATCGCAGCGCGGAAGATGACGATAATCGTCATATGGAGGCCATTGCACATTTAGTTGTACTAGCGACTACCATTCGTTGTATCATACCGCATCTAAATATAGATGCCGAGAGTCTAATAAACTTATATAACCAATATTTTTCCTGCTTCAAGTACTACTATCATGGAAGTCGCCTCAGTCTAATTTTTAATAGTAACCATATCGTACAAAAGAAGAAAGAAAATGCAAAAAAAACCCAGAGCAGACGTAAACATTCTCGAAAAAGAAATCGATCGTCTCCTCATCTCGATGATGTATTACAAGATATTAGCAATCTTTTGCTCTAGTCCTTCCGTTTTCTTTAGTATTTAGTTTTGTACTTTTTGTCTTACCTCTGTTCACATTAGGTGTGCACCGGTCTCGGTTAAGCGGCGCCGAAAAAACCGATGTACGGTTTAAACCGACACCGAAATAACCTTCGGTTTAAACCGGTACCGGCAGAAAGCGAGCATTGTCACATTCAAGAAATTTTCGTAGATAGTACTATTTCACTCTGAAGATAGTTGAAAGAAAAATTAGTTGCGTGCGTAGCTTTCTTGTTCTCTCTCATGCCAATGTATATCAACATAGATCGTCACTAATAGTTAATTCAGACTTAATATTATTGTAAAATATTGTACCTTGATAGCCGTCTTTTAAAGAGAGAGCATTTGTCAAATAAATGATAGTTTCTGAACCTTTCTGATCAACAAACAGCTTAATCATAAAATATTAAAAAACCATGAGATATATTCTTACTGTTTCTCTTATATTCTTACTGTTGCTTATATTCTGTTTTTTATCTACACGAAATAATGATTACTATTATAAGTGTCTCACAATTGCTTGTGATTATTACTACCCCCAGTCCATAACAGAAGACGCCTGAGCTCTAATTAAAAAGGTAAACGCTGAGAAATTTTCAAATGTTTCCGATTACCCTATTTCAGAGCTGGGCAAGAACGGGATTTTTCAAGTACGAGTCGAGTACGAGTACCAATGCTTCGAGTACGAGTACCGAGCCTTCGAGTATGAGTCGAGTACGAGTACCGAGCCTTCGAGTATGAGTCGAGTACGAGTACCGAGCCTTCGAGTACGAGTCGAGTACCGAGCCTATGTAGAAACATACCGAGCGAAATGTTAAAACATTTTTTTATTTATTGTATTATCAACCTTCAAGTAGATGGAATCAAAGTAAAACTTTATTACATTTTAGAAAAGTTAGTAGACACACATTCTTTGCCGTTAATGAT